TCCAGCGGATGCCCCCCACCCAGCCTGGGCATGGGGAACAGCAGCAGCAACCTGGGGGGAGGCGAGAGACGATGAGTTCAGATTCGGGCCCGGTGAGCGCAGCATGTCTGTGGACACCTGCCTGGAAGTGACCTTTGGCAGATGGAGCTACTGGTATAAACCTCAGTAGAAATCAGGGCTTGGAGAGAAAACAGAGGTTAAGTCAGAAGGTGGAGGACCGCCCCCCTCCCCAACCAAAGAGGTCACTGAGGTGCTATGGGCAGAGTGCTGTTTCAAATACCAGCTCACCACTTGGACAAATGAAGTCACTCTGCTACCTCTCCTGACTTACCTGTAAACCAAGGGTAAAACTGCCCTCTTCCCAGAGTGAGATGAAAGGAGATAACGTAAGGGGGAGGGTGATGAAGACCCCACAGAAGACATGCTCTTAAGATGGTTTTGAGGGCTACTTCGTGTCGGGGAGTACCCAGTGGAACCCACGACTGAATGGAGAGACACCCCAAGCATGGAGCTCAGAGGGCCGGTATGTCTCTGAAGGCCAATTGTGGCTGGCACTAAAGTATCCAGACATTTAAAAACATACTGACACATGCTGCCAGCCACCGATTGGAACACTAACACTCTCCAGAAGCATGAGCTTACTGCGTCTGCGATGGGAAGCTCCGCACCCCTCAAGGGGTTTATTTAGATCATGTCACCTGCTCTTGGAAGCCATCCCCCTCCCCCGCACCTTGTCGTCACTTGTAAGCACATTTGTCCATCTCTCTCCATAAACTGCACTCCCTGAAGGTATCTCCTCACTCCTGCTCAGCATCCAGCAAGAGTCTGGTACATAAGAGGGAGATAAAGTTCTGGGTTGCTTTTCCTTTTGAAGAGGAAAGATGGATCCGAGTGAGCCTGGTTAGGATTCAATCTGACCAGCAGAGGGCGCAAAAGTCATTGAAGATGCAGAAGAAGAGGCTGAGGCCTCCGCTTGTGCAAGATTTCCTGGAAACACTTTTAGCAAGTAACACATTTATAATAGCTTTTCTTCTGTCATATTCTTTCCTTTTGCCTATTCCTTGCAGGATTTGTCACTTGGCAGCTGCAAAGGCCTGCAAAAGCTCAGGGCTTGGGAAACTCCCAGAAAGTCAAGGCTGCGGCCCCCTGTCCAATCCACATTTCAACAGCTGGAGGGGATTTACTTGGAATTGAGAGGAGATGGGAAAGGATGGTCCTGGCGGGAGCACTCACACCCTTGCTGGCCTTTGACCTTCCAGGGCTGCCAGCCAGGTCCCTGAGCTCTCAGCAGCTGGGGTTCTCCAGAGGAATCAGCCTTTAGAGTCTGTTAGGGCTGCCATTTAAGGGAGTGAGTGTACTGTCACAAGGAGTATGCAAGAAACTGGAAAGTAAGGGTGAATAATTCCTACTCTAAAGACTATTGTGGGATTAAATGAGATGATGGCTGAAAAGCATCCAACCCAGTGCCCAGGTATATTAGTATCAGGAAGACTTTAAATTGTTGAGAATTCAGACATGGGAGTAGGAAATGAACTTAATGATTTGTGTTTCTAAGGCTGCAATACTGCAAAAATAATGAGCGCTTTCACAGAAAAAAAATTAAAAATGTTTTTTAAATAAGGTAACCCTTCAGATACAGAGGTGTACATATTTGGGCAATCAGAATTTGCATCTAGACTCATAGACTAGGAATTGGCAACTATGGCCCATTGCCTGTTTTTGCATGGCCTGTGAACTGAGAATGTTTTTCACATTTTTAAATAGTTGAAACAAATAGAGATAGAGCAAATATCTGTGACATAATATTTTATGAAAATTAGATGAAATTCAAGTTTTAATGTGCATTTGGTGTGCGACTGGCACAGAGCCACATTCACTCCTTTATATGTTCCCTATGGCGGCATTCATGCTCAAAGGCAGAATGGAGGCACTACACCAGATCCATGCAGCCCACAAAGCTTAAAATATTTACTTATCTGGCCTTTTACAGAAAGTTTTTCAACCCTTGATCTAGACTGTTAAAACTGGTAAGAAAGCAGTATTCATCTAGCTCATCCCTTCTTGTTTTTTTATTTGGGGAAACAGGGAATGAGCTTGCATCGCGGGTTCTGTGTGTGCCCTGTACGGCATTTGGACATTTGCAAGCAGGGCCTCTGTGTCCATGCTTGGCACTGAGGAGCGTGTACAAAAAAGTGCCAGAAGCACAGGTGTATGTGGACTGGGCACCAAGCTCCTAGACCCTTTATCTCACTCGTCTGACCAGCAGGAGAAGGACTGGACTGGAGCCCAGGAACCAGAGGCTGGGTCTGGCCTGGTGTCTAAGGAACAAGGTGATTGTGGCTTCTCTCTTTCCTCTTTACTCCCCGCCCCCTCCCCTCCCAATACTGCAGAGGAGAAGGGATTTCTGTGTTAGGGAGGACAGATGCAGGTGTGAATTTCCTCTTGAAAGGGGTAATATGTTCTGGCCTCCCATCTGTTGGAAGACATCCTGGAGGAGATGTACCTGCCTTGCCTGGCTGGGGTCACAGATTCAGTCTTTAGCCTCATTCAGCTTTGCCACTTCGGGTGCCCAGCTAGCTGGGAGGAGACCCTACCCCAGGTCCACAGCCCACATAAGCCTCCCAGGGCTCTGCAGTGGGGTACCTGGAGGTCCCCTCTGCAGAGGGGACCCTCCCTTTATTACCAGGGAGACAGACTGGGATGTGGACTCCTTCTGACCAAAGGAATCAGGGAAAGGGAGAGAGCAGAGAAGCAGGGAAGGAGACGAAGAGAAGGAGCAAGAGCGCAAGAAAAGAGGAAGGAGAAGCGTGCAGAGGAAGCAGGCTAAAGAAGAAAAAGGGCAAACAGATGAAGGGACGGAAGAGAGAACGAACAGCAAAGAAGGAAGGGAGAAAAAAAAGGAAGAAAAACAAAACTTGAGCCATTTTCATGAACCTTGCCTGCGCGTCTGTTTGGAGGGACCGGCCTCTGTAGTGGGGCCTCTCCTTTTCTGTCCTGTCGCTGAGGCTGGTCCCGCGGCTTCAGGAGGACAGTGGCCCAGGCAAGCGAGCACCTCGTTCTCTCAAAGGCCAGAACGGCTGGGAGCCTGGACTGGGGTCCCTGACTGGCGCCCGGGCAGGAGTCGGACCCAGCCTCCTGCTCCTTGGCACCCTGTCCCTGGAGCACAGCGCCCTTGTTTCAGAGCACGTTCTCGAAGGACCTGTGCAAATCTGCGGGAGAAGCCGGCGGGAGACCCTGGGCTGCCTACACACGGCGTGGCTATCTGCGCGCAGGATGTGCTGCGCGAATCTTGGGGCCCCAGAGAATGGAGGTACTCGCGGCCACTACTTCCCGGCCCTGCGTGTGGCCTCCAGTGCAGATACTGTTCAAGACTCCACTCGGAACCAAGGTAGTTGCTCAAACCTCCCCAGCTAGGCTGAAATGCCTAGGGGCGAGTGTAGAACGGCTTTGGGGTCTGGGCTGTGTCCAGCAGGAACGCTTTGGGTTCCTGGGGGCATCAAGAATGGGATCCTCGCTGGGTCAAGGTAATTACTGCCTACCTATGGATCTAGCCTTTAAAACACATTTCTAAAGAAAATCACACGTTAAAAAAAATAGTTACAAAACAAAAATAAAGTAACTATTTCCAGAGGAACAAATTTGTAAATTACTTGAAGAGGGAGAATTTGAAGGGGAGAGGGAGGGATGTGTCTCAAGGCGCTGTCCCCCAACGCTCTTTGAGCTCAGAGGTGTTTGAAACGATTCAAAACGAAAAGTCCACACGTGACTTGAAATGTTCATAAAGGAAGGCATCATTAGAGATCCGCTTCTCCAAAGAGAAAGTGATCATGCGGTCATCAGGTGGTGTGACCTAGGAGCGTGGAGACGGAGTAATTTTGTAACATCGAGATTTTCTATTCTGAAGGCAAGGCAGATGTCGCCAGTCTTGAATCCAGACATTATGAGCAAGAATGGGGCACGGGGCCTCAGGACGAACGATGCGTTCCCGGCGGGGCCGGTATGCTCCTCCTGGCATGGTCCACGGAGACAGAGCCGGTGCGGCCACCGGAGAGCCTCAGCCACCAGCGTTAGCCTGCCCTGTGCCGGGGACAATCACAAGGGACCGCTTTCAAAAGAAGCGCGTGGAGGATGACTTTCGTTCTGGGCGCCGACGCGACCGCGGGCGTCCTTGAGGAGACCCGGCACAAGGGCGAGGGACGCCGGGTTGCCAAGGGTGACAGAGACCGGGAAGTCACTCGCGGCTCCGTTTCTGGGTCACTTGGGTGTGGGGGGAGGTGTGGCGCCCCCCCCCCCCCCCCAGCAGCTGCCTACGGGAGGTTGCGCCCAGGGGTGAGCAGCTATGTCCAGAAGAAACCGCTCCTGGTGGCTCCCATCCCCGACTCTGTTTTGCGGAGCAGGACACAAACCCTCGACAACTGGGAAAGGAGACAACGAAAAAGGGCCGGGGTTCAGTGGGTGCTGGAGGGGATCTGGGCCCAGAACAATCCGGGTAATGCCGAAGCACCCAGACCAGGTCACAGACCTTGCCCCGGCCTGCGCACAGCCGGACTCAGCTTCCTCATCTGTACAATGGTTCGGGACCCCCTCGCCTCATCGGCTCCAGAAACCCACCCGGGAGGCGCCAGGGGAGGAGGAGCCCTTAGCTGGAGGAGGGGAAGGTCTGGAACCCGCGTGCCTGGGCTGACGGGTTCGGTTAGAGAGGGAGGTAATCCTCTCTCGCGCTATTGCCGTTTCAGCGCACGGCCGTGGGGTCTGAGGAGCAGAGTAGCGGCGGGGAGGGGGCCCCACCCGGCGTCCGGCCGGCGCCGAGACCCCCCTGCTGCCCGGAGCCCCTCATCGCCCGGCCCGCGGTGAGGGCGGCTGGCCGCGGGCGCTGAGGTCACCTTTTCCACTGCGCCCGCCGAGAGCGGACGGTTTCCGGGATTTTCGAGGCGGCAGCGGCGGCGGGAGGCCCGGGCTGGAGGAGCTGGGCCCGGCGGTTGCACCCCCGAGGTGGGGGCTACAAGGCTGGGACCGCGCGATAGGCCCTGAGGCCCCTTCGCCCAAGGGGGTTTTCCCTTCTCTGGGCCTCTGTTACCCACGGGGAGGAGGGACCCTTCTCTCTGGGAAGGAAGGAGGAAGGACCCCACTCTCTGGGAATCATTTGCCGGCCAATAATGCTGCAATTCCCAAGCAAAAGAGGCCCTATTGCTTTTTGTGAGTATTTTTTTCGCATAAAAGGGGGTTTATCTGTAGATCTTCTTTGGGATCACAGCCTAGCACAGGCATGCCCAGAGATGGGAGATCAGAGGCCTACCCACCCAGGGAAGGGCCTTGAGGGGTGACAGGAAGCCCTTTGGACCAGCTAGGGTCTCCAATGTTCCCCCAAAGAGCCTTGGGCCTTATTCCTGGTGCCTGCCATGACTCAGACCTCCAGAAGCTAAGCCCAAGTAGCTGAGGGGAAGTGTTCCCCTTCAGCATCTGCGAAATAGGGTGGGGACTGGACTGCACTCGTCTTCTGACTCCCCAAAATCTAGAGGTGAAGCCTCAATCCTGAAAATAACCTCCTACCCCTAAAGCTGACCCAGGACTGGAGGCAAAATGAATTTGGTGAGAGTTGATCAATGTGATTCCCAAGTCCTCAGATCTGGGTCCTGAGCTCCACCGGTCTGGAGGACCTAAGACCCTCAGGGAGGCAACTGCCTAGAGCAGAGATGGTTCAAAGCCAGGTGGCTTCAGTTAAGGACACAAATAGAAGGTAAAGGGATGGAGCGGGGTGGCTGGGTTTAACCCTCACAGTAGGCTACCCATAGGCTGTGCCCTTGGGAAGGTATGGAAAGAAGACGGAGGTGGCTGATGGGCCCTACTAGGTGGACGGAGGTGAGAGGAAAATGGGCCCCATGCCATATGCACCAGGAGCAAGTAGAAAACAAACCCTGCTCACTGTGGTCCCTGGGCCAGTACTTTCCTCTTGCTGGGCCTTAGTTTCACTATCTGAGAAAGTAGGTGGTTGTTGGACTGGGTGACACCCAAGCACCTATCTAGGGAGAAGTTCTCTTTGCCTTTGAGCGGAAAGGGACTTCCAGCTGGACTGCCTAGAGCTCTGGGAGACACTGGCTTTTTTCTGTTTGCCTGGTGGCTGCTGGGCCAACTGAGGTGGCACAGACCCATTCTCTGTCTCCCTACCTCTCACTGGGAGAGAGGCCTGTCTTGTGTGGGATATCCTCACTGTTAGTGGGTCCCACACCATCCCCTTCTGAGCAGCCCTGTGACTCATAAGATCACCCACATATGGAGCAGCTGGAGGTCTTTTCAGTCCTGAGGAGGGCTGGGAGGCTCAGAAAGGTGCAGCCCTGGGTGAAGTCACTCAACAGCTAGGGGGAGGGGCAGCTGGGCTCTTAGCGCTTCTGGTAAGACTTCCCTTTGTCCCTGTGGACAAAGAGTCTTGGGCATCTCCTCATCCGCAGGTGCCAGGGCTTCGCCACCAGCAACTAAAGCTTGAGAAGCTCCACCATCTTGAGGTGAGGCAGGGCCATGGGTGTAGTAAGTAGGTCCTGTTTCCCACAGGTGACCACTGAGGTCCCAGGCAGAGCTCACAGGGGAAAGAGAAGAGGCCCAGGACCCCAGCTGAGGGACTGCCAAGGGACAGGAGGAGAAGGGGTAGGCACCCTCCCGTCTCCTGGGGACACCCACCCATCTCCGCTGACACACCACCCGCCTTGTCTGGATAAACTATATACTCCTCCCTAATTGATCCTGTGGACCCATGGGAACAGGACCCCCCACTAAGTCCTCACAGCCTCCCTGAAATCAAATATCAGCATCTTCTCCGGACAGGTCAGGAGACTGAGGTCCAGAATGGGGCAGTGAGTGACAACGCCAAAGAGACAGACTAAGTGGAGAGTTGAGCTTTGGGATTGACTCCCTAACTTGGACTAATATCCCCTTAATGATAAAGAGAGAGACCCGCAAAGACTCTGGCCTTCCTCAATTATATTGGGGCCCTTAAGGCTCAGAGAGGAGGCAGGAGCCAGAGTTCATCTCCAGACTCCCAGATCCCTCTGTGGCTTCTCATCCAGCTCTACCCAATACCCGTTTTCTCTGTTGCTCCAAAACTGCGAAAAGGCAAATCTGCAGCCTTTCCTTTCCTGGCATCCACCTCTTGCTCTAACTAGGGAACCTAACCCACTCCACAGCGTCTAGGATTGTGTGGAGGGGTCCACATATCACTTGGCAATATAAGCAAATTCTGGCTGGAGAAATCTGACTCTCAGGGCGGTTCCGGAGAAATGAGGCGGTGCCTGGGAAACTGAGGCACAGGTAAGATCACTGCCCTGCGAGTTGCCGTCGGCCCACTGTTGCACTCCAGCCCCGCGGGCGGCCCTGCGTCCTGGCATGGAAGCTGAGCACCGCCACCCACTTCCCAGCAAAGCTTTCTATTCCACCACCCCCGCCCATCTCTCCGGGGCTCCCTAACCCCTGCCCAGGCCGCCCGCCTTGCTAGCTGTCCCATCTTTCTTTACTGCCCCCTCTTTCTGTCCTGCTTGCCTCTGTGCTCTCTGGCACGTCACGGCCCGCTGACTCCCGCGCCTCTGCCGGTCGCTCTCTGCGCACGTCTCGGCGTCCCTGGCATCCTCACGTCACCACCGTCTCGCATCTTGTGTGGCCCTCGGTGTCTCGCTCTAGACCCTCTCTCACCTCTCTCTCTCTCTCTCTCTCTCGATCTCCCATCCCTGGTGTTCCCGTGTCCCGAGCTCTCCGGCTCGATCCTTTCTGGGCGTGCGCTCCGCTGGGTCTCCCTCTGTCTGGGTCGGTCTGCCCCTCTCGCGGCCCCCTCCCTCCTGCCACCCTCCCATCTCTGGCCCTCCCACGGGCTCGGCCTGGGGGGTGATTCGGGCCGCCCGAGGGCTGCGCCGACCACCGGCCGCACCGCTACCGCAGCTTCATGATCGAGGAAATCCTCACTGAGCCTCCGGGGCCCAAGGGAGCCGCTGACGCCGCCTAGCTCCGGGAGCCGCGATGCAGCGGCCGGGGGAGCAGGGCGCAGCGCGCTTCGGGCCGCCCGAGGGCTGCGCCGACCACCGGCCGCACCGCTACCGCAGCTTCATGATCGAGGAAATCCTCACTGAGCCTCCGGGGCCCAAGGGCGCCGCTCCCGCCGCCGCCGCCGCCGCCGCGGGCGAGCTGCTCAAGTTCGGCGTGCAGGCGCTACTGGCGGCGCGGCCCTTCCACAGCCACCTGGGTACGTGCGGGTCCGGGGTCCGCGGGGAGCTGGCCGGGCTCGGCGGGAGGAAGCGAGCCGCGGCCTCTGCGGGACGCAGCTCCGGGCACGCAGGCCACGGGCCGTTCCTTCGGCGCGTTCCAGGCAGGGAAGCAAAAGGGGCAGGAGCCGGGCCGCGCAGAAACCAGGCCTCGTGCCCGTGGGCCAGGCCAGCCGGGAGAGCATTCGCTCTCTTCTTCACTGCGACCCTGTGGTTTCCAGCCCCAAGGAGTCCAGCCCGGGGACCCGAGCCCGCATCCCCATCGCGGGCGCTGGACCAGACTGCGAATGTCAGACTTCGGGTCAAAGCGACCTCAGGCCGCGGGCGCCTGGGCCTTCGCCACAGGACTTGGGAGTGGCCGTTGCTGCCCAAGCCGGGAAAGCTGGACCTTGACGGAAGAGGCCCGTGTGTCTGAGTGCTGTGCTGGGGGCTGACGCTGGCCGGAGCCAGCCCAGAGCCTCCCGGAGTCCAGGGTCTCAGGCTGGCGAGGAACCCGCCTGTGCTGTAGCGTAGACCCCCTTGGGCCTTGCCTGAGGACGAGAGGCTTGTCTCTGAGCTGCTGCCGGACTAGCCCTTACGCTCTGGATCCGCGGCACCTTGGCCGAGCCTGAACCAGCAACTCAGACTTTTTCTGCTCCTTTCAGTTCTCTTCTCTTCTTTCCTTGTCCGGGCCCTGCCTTGACCTGCCTGCCCTCTCCACTGCATCCCCTCTTCTGACCTTTCCCTATCTCTCTCCAGCCTTCCTCTCAGTGGGGTGGGTCTGCCCTTCCTCTCATCGTCCCCCAAGGATCCCTTCTCCCCTCCCGCTGCCTCCTCACTTTCACCCGCTCATCTTGCTGGGCCCTTCCTGACTCCAGCGGGCCTAACACCGCCGGTAGTGAGATGCTATCCGGGCAGGGAGCCCTCCTACCTTCTAGCAGGACCTCAGCCCAGGGAACTGACATCCTCTATACCCAGTGATCCTCCAGCCAGTGATCCGCCTGCCTGAGGGGCAGCGGGACCAGTTGGTTCGTTTTGAGTTCCATTTCTGCTGTCTTTTGCCTCCAGCTGCGCTGTTAATAATTCGTTTGAAGCGGGCAAAAAAATAAAAAAATCACTTAGGACTAATGAAAATTGAAATGTCTTCGCGGGGAAAAGTCTAAAGAGAGAAAACAGGAAGAACAAATTTCCCACTTCTTGGGGGTGCTTTGGAATTTCCGGGAAGCTCCCAACTTCACCCTCACTGACTGTCCCTCGGGGTGGCTGTTTTGCTCTGCATAGACCAGCAGACTGCTTACTCCATTGAAACTCTCCCCCCCACCCCCCAATGCAGCAAAGCCGATTTTGGTGGGGGCAAATGCTCTTCCTAACTGTGCCGTTTTTTCTTGGCTTCCCTTTTCTGTCACACATATACTCCATTGGTTTGGGAACTTCGACCTTGTTCATTGGGAATCCTGAAATGTCAGGGCAGTGGGGCCTGGGGAACGCCGGGGGTGGGGGAGGTCCCCCTCCCAGACTGGGAACCCCGGCGTCGAGGAGGGTCGGCCTAGCACAGATTTCTCACTTCCCGGCCAGCACGAAGGTTTTGTGCCGGGGGCACTGGCTGAGGGCGAGCTGTCGGCAGGGGCGCACGGTGCGAGGATCTCCAGGAGGAGGAGCGAGGCTCGAGCTCACCCGGCTCCCCACTCTCTCCCCCGCAGCCGTGCTGAAGGCCGAGCAGGCAGCGGTGTTTAAGTTCCCGCTGGCGCCGCTCGGCTGCTCCGGACTGGGCTCGGCGCTGCTGGCCGCGGGGCCTGGGCTCCCCGGCGCGGCGGGCGCTCCGCACCTGCCGCTGGAGCTGCAGCTCCGCGGGAAGCTGGAGGCGCCAGGCGCTGGGGAGCCGGGCACAAAGGCCAAGAAAGGGCGTCGGAGCCGCACGGTGTTCACCGAGCTGCAGCTGATGGGCCTAGAGAAACGCTTTGAGAAGCAGAAGTACCTCTCCACGCCGGACAGGTAGCGCGGGGCCAGGCTGGGCCCAGCGGGTAGTGGGAGGGAGGCTGCATGCCCTGCTGAGGGTGCACCCCGCTCTTTCCAGAATAGATCTCGCCGAGTCCCTGGGTCTGAGCCAGTTGCAGGTTAAGACGTGGTACCAGAATCGAAGGATGAAGTGGAAGAAAATAGTAAGTGTTTTCGCGGTTTTCTGTGCTATTTGCCACCACGCCCCTGCAGCCTTCGAGAGTTACTCTCCTCTCCACCGTGGAGACTTGCGCCCAATCCTCCAGATTCCCTCCGTCCTGGTGCCCAGAGGGACCCTCCCTGCTCTGTCCCTCTGGGTGCCCTAGCCCAGCTTCCTTCGGGTGCCCTGGTCCAGTTCCTTTCGTGCTCCTTGAGCTCTCAGTGTTCCTGGAAGACTTGAACCCCTCCGCCCGAAAAGCTCTGGTCGTTTTGCCCCAGCAGCGTTCGGACAAATGGCCACCATTTCCCCGGGTCTAGGCGCGGCCTCCAGTGGCCTCGTTGGACTCTCCAGGTCCTGTCTGCTTCTCCAGGGCGCCGGGATCCCCGGCCATATCCCAGTTCACCCAGTGCCCCTGGTCTCCCTCGCAGGTGCTACAGGGCGGCGGCCTGGAGTCTCCTACCAAGCCCAAGGGGAGGCCAAAGAAGAACTCCATCCCCACGAGCGAACAGCTGACGGAGCAGGAGCGCGCCAAGGAGGCGGAGAAGACGGTGGAGGCGCCAGGCGAGGCCAGCGACCGGAGCCACGAGGACTGAGCGCGGCAGAAGGTGCGGGCCCAGGGAACCCCAGCGCAGGCAGCGGCTCCCAGAATCCGCCGAAAGCCGCGAGTCGGCCTGCTGCGTCCACGCCGTTTGCTTTCTAAACTTTTTTTATTACCTTGAATGCGGACAGTTAGGGGCCAAACAAGGACAGACCCTGAAGCCAAACCGAGGTCCCAGTGCGCTCGCGGGCCCCAGCCTGGAAACTCACATCAGACGCGGCAGAAGGTCGCCTCCGCTCGGAGCTCCGCGGCGCCAGGCGCTCCACGCGCGTTCACGCCCCGCTCCTCTCCTGCACCCCCCACTCGCCTCTGGCCGGCCTCCGGGCCCAGACGCCTCCAGGCACACACGCGCTTCCACGCGTCGGGGACCCCGCGGCCCGGCGCAGGCCACCACGGCCGGAGATGGCGCCCAGACAAACCGACGTCGCTGGGGCCCCTACCCCTCTCTTACGAAGACGGTGATTTTTTTTTTTCAATAAAATATTTTATGACACAGCGGGACTTGATGAGGGAGTTTCTGAATCCGCAAGGTTGGAGGGGGACGCGGCGAGGTAAGAGGGACACACGCAGTGGCTTCTGAAACATCCTTGCCCCGGGGTTCCGTGGACACGAGCCTTAACCAGCTCCACCCGGCCGGGGCCGGCACGCAGGCGGCTCGGTTGCTGCAGGATCCTAGGAATCGCTTCCAGTTTGGGCATGAGAGGCCAGTCCGAACTTGCTCCCTTCCTTCTCAGCCCAGGGCGCTGTGGATGGCAGCAATCAGGCTACACAGCGGTCGCCAACAGGAGCGGGAGCCCCAGGCCACCGCGCTCTTACTCGGCAAGTTGCCCCGGGCTGAAAGCTTCCCGGATTGTTGGTTCGGTCTCAGGGACTAACTGTGAGGTCCTTGAGATTGTTCTGGCCAGCCCTTCCTAAGGCTGACGGGAAACCTAGGACTCACCTCGAGGCCGGCCACCATCTGCAGCCCTTGCCTGAAATTGCATCCGGCTCCCGGAGTTTTCACGTTTTCTACAGTATACCCGGGGCGAAGGCACCTGGGAATTGAGTGGGGGTACCTGAGGCAGAGGGCAGAGGACCCCAAACTGCTCACAGTCTTGCAGGGTGCCCCTTTCCAAGGGCATGGCCTGGTGGCACATGCTTGCTGCCCCCCCAGCCAGCCCCTTTCACTGGGGAAGGTTTCCACTTGCTCCTCCCTGACCTAAGCTGGGCTTCTAGCTCCCCAGTTGGTTCCTGTTTGTGTGCTTTCTAGGACTACCACCAGGCTATGGAGATGGGGAAATGGGCACACCACTGGTTAAAGCTAGGGGACAGACGGAAACTTGGCCCTGCAGAGTTCCAAACAGGAACAAGATTTGAAACCAGGACCTTGGCAGGTGCAAAGAGAGGGGGAAAGAGTCAGGAATACTCATTATACTGAGATGCAGGCTTTGAATTTCAGAATGTGAAAACTGTTATGGCTTTCACCTGCAGTGACTGATAGCTTCCTTTTCAAATCGGCTGCTTGACTGCCCTTTCCTGAAACTTGCACTTGGACTTCTGGTACCCAAGCATCACTGGCCTTGGTTTGAGTCTGGGAGGATGGAAAAAGAGGATGTTTTCTGAGGTCGGCAGGCAATTCTCTGCAAGCCCCAGCCCTGCCAAGTCTTTGGGAAATCAGCTCACTTTCTAGGCTTTTAACCTCGAAAACAGCTCCCAGACTACTCACTTGCCACTGTCCCCTGAGGGGCCTGAGAAGACCTGCAGGCAGGAGGGAAGAAATAGACCATCAGCGTATGACTGCAACTCCTAATCTCTTCCATCCCTTAGGGTTACCTACAGGTCTGCTCAGTGTAGTGGTCCTGCCAAAACCTTCCTACAGCAGGCCCAGGCTAGCCAAATCAGGTACACGACTGAGTTTAATCCTCTCCACCTCAAAGTGGGGCAGGAGTGGGGGTGAAAATTCAAGAAGTTCTGTCCCTTCTTGGCCTGGGAGAGATTTCAGCACAGTTTTTGTCAACTATGCCGTGTTGCAGAAGACGAGTGAAAGAGAGATGAGGCATACCGACCTGCACTCCTCCAGTCCATTCTGGGACCTCGTTCTGGGTCCTCTGGGTCCTCAGGTTTCATTAAATCTGCGGAATGCAACCTCCGGGCGGATTGCCTTGTGGTTCTTTGGTGCTTCCCCAAGGCAGCCCCCTCATTGGACTGGAGGAAAGAGCCTTAAAGGACCAGGGCTCTAAGAGGGAGGGAGGGCGTCCGGGGAAATCGGCTCCAGAGCACAAGGGCCCCAATATTCCAGTAAGTACAGCTCCTCCAGGCACAGATGGGGAACCTGACGCGGGCATTGCTGTCACGAGGTCACCAGCCGGTCAGTGGGGGAGCCGGGCCCCTGTAGAAGGGGTCCAAATTCCAGTGCAGGCGGGGGTGGGAGGGGTTTCTGTCACTGCCTGCGCCTTTGTGCTTCTTGGCTGAAAGGAAGCGGGGCGACCGCAGTAGATCGAGACCTGGAGGCCCGGGAGAGGACCGGGCTGCTAACCGACCGCGTTCTGGCACCTCGGCGTTCCTGACTTGGGCAATTCCTATGAGACTTGATGGAAGCTCAGGCTCGCTCCAGGAAAAAGCGAAGAAGCGGAGGCAGATCTGCAGCCCATCCTCAGACTTACGGTCAAGGACCGCCGCCCGCAGAACTAGGGCTCTAAATAAAGGGCCGCACCGTATCTCTGACGGCGAGGCGGTCGCCCAGCCTCAGAGCCACCCCGCCCCGGCCACCTGGGCCACCCAGCGCGGAAACCCTCTTCCTGCCTGGCATCAATCGCTGGCTCCCAGACCCGAGCCTTGGGGAAGGAACGATCTTCTCGCTCCCCAGCGCCGCACAAATCTCATCCCCATCCCAAGGTTCTGGAAAACAAAACCCGGAGACCACACCAAAGCGCAAAAGAGGTCGCGCGGCTGTGCCTCCGGAGCCCCGGGCCCTCAGCCAGGGCAGGAGCGGGCTCGGGCGTCTCGAGATCCCAGACGAGGGCCCAGATTGGGGGTGGAGGCCCTTTGGTGGCCAGGACTCCGGCTCGTTTGGGAGGGCGCGCGGCTTGGCGCAAGGACTGAGCGGCACCCGGGATTAGCTCGGCGGCAGCGCCCGGAGGCGAGCACGAAGTTTGCGCGTCTGGGCTTTGTGAGGTGGGGGTAGGTAGGGGCCTAGACAGGAAGGGAGACTATGGGCTCAGTTTGGTTGAAGGCCTGGCCGGGGATGGGGGTTATGACCCCGATCCGCAGCCAGTCATTCTCCTTGTCGGCGGAAGCGGGAGCCTAGCTCTGTGTAGCGCTCCGCTCAGGCCAGGATCGCAGGAAGCGTTCGAGAATAAATTGGCCTGTCGCGGCCGGCCTGGGGTTCGCCGCAACT